TCTCTCTCTCTCTCTCTCTCTCTCTCTCTCTGTGTGTGTGTGTGTGTGTGTGCATGTGTGTGTTTAGTGCTCCAAATATCCATATCTGTATTTGTATTTAACCTGAACCTCTACTATATATATATATATATATATATATATATATATATATATATATATATATATATATATATATATATAATATATATATATATATATTTTTTAAAGTATATATAAATATATATATATATATATATATATATATATATATATATAATATATATATATATATATATATATATATATATATATATATATATATATATATATATTTATTTATTTATTTTAAACATGAACCCTAGCACACTGACCCCCAGAACCACTGGAAAACACCGGAAAAACACCCACATGTAGAAATATCAGCAATGTCAGCATGGTGTGTGAATTCTGTCTCTGACAGTTCCTCAACCTCAGCTACATCACTCCAGTTCATAATTGGTCTCAAATAGAGATGTACACAAGACAGATATTATTTTTATTTGAACCTACCCATGATATATTCTAACAAATTCAATTTTCAAAATGTAAGCAAACTATTATCCTATTTCAAAATGCGCACATCTCTGACCAAGCAGTTACTAAGAATGAATGAATGAATGCTGCAACTACATCACTCAGTGCTGCACATTATTGTTAACTTTAATAAACCTGGTCTTTGTTTGTCCTACAAGCTTCACATCTGAGTGCTCACTCACACCTGCTTGAAAGTATAAAACTCCCACTCATGCATCCTTTTCATTGCTGCACGGTGGTATAGGTGTTTTATGAAATAAATGACAAAAACAAACAAATAAAAAAGTAAAAGCAAGAATCATAAGTAGGTCAAAACAAAGGTTAAAGGCATGTGGTAGCAAACACGTAACAGTGGCTTAGCAACTAAACACTGAAAAGTCATAGCTTAAATAGGGACTCTAATCAAGGGGAAACATTAAACAGGTGAGGGTGCTCAAGAGAGCATGTGACAGGGTCATGTGATTTGTTGTAGTCAGTGAGGACTGATGGGAAATGAAGTATAAGGAAGCTGAAACCAGTACTGATGTGACAATTGCGGCACAGAGGATCCCAGATCTCTAATCTCAACCAGATATCCTGTTAAGCTGTCCGACAAGCTTTTTAAAAAAACAAACAAATACCAAAATGCATTTGTATTTGCTTAGAACACATTACTATATATATATATATATATATATATATATATATATGTATAAAATGCATTTAGTGGGCAATTTGAATAAAGGCCCTAGAACGGCAACCAGAGTTCCTTTTTGAGTCCCTCATCCTGGGGTACATTCTTGCTTCATCGTCCAAACTGTTTACAGCGAGCAGAGGAATAATGCAGCTCAGCTTGTTCCCTACTCCTTTTCTTTTAGCCTGTAATTATCTCCAGCTGAAAAACAAGTGCACACTGAAATGCCCATTGGGCCATACAGAGGGAATTATAGCCCACGTCTCTTGTCCTTTTTGTGCTGAAAGAATGCATCAAGTTTAGTTGGAGCACTTTTTCACATCGAGGTGGTAGAGGAGGAGGTGTCTGTCTTCTGGCAGGCCGGTCATCGGTCCTGTGCGAATCTCTTTGTTAAAGATCAGCCTCATGTGTTCCTGAATGATGGAAAATTGATCAGGCCTGAATCAGAGGTTCGATATGCGGCCCCCGCTTTGCGTCTTTTGTCTAGGTGAATAGCACATGCTGAAGGGCTACAGGCAGGTTGCTATTAATATGACAGCCTGCTCTATATCCAGCTATAATTTCTAATGAAATACCTAATCTCTATTATTTTGATCCAGGCAGGCGATACAGAGGGGAAAAAATAAAAAGAGGATGTAGAGAGAGGGAGAGAGAGAGAAAGAGAGAGACCAGGCAGTAAGAGAAAAGCCTTTTCTTTCCCTGCCAGTTCTATGAGAAATGGCAAACCAATAATTTTTGTCAAGTTTTTTTTCCATCTCTCTCTATCTCTCTCTCTCTCTCTCTCTCTCTCTCTCTCTCTCTCTCTCTCTCTCTCTCTCTCTCTCTCTCTCTCTCTGTAGCCAGCTGAAATGCTTGTGGATTGCCACAGTTTAAATAGGCACCCAGATAAAAACCATTCAGGGCGCTGAATGAGGATGCCATCTGTTTTTTTTTATTTCCTCCTCTTTCTTTTCCTTTTTCAATCCTTGTAATCAAATTTGAGCAAAATCAAATGGAGAAAAGAGGAGGAGGAGGAGGTGGTGGTGATGGTTTTGCTGGGGGTGGCGGTGGTGGTGGTGGGGGACGGAAGGAGTTTCAATGAAAGTACCTTTTGTTGGTCTGAAACGAGCAAGTAATTTACAAAATGCCCTTCCTTTGTGTAGGAGGCTAAAAGGAAAAAAAAAAAAGAAATCAGTAGCTTTTAAAGCTAGGCCTTGCTGCGAGTGAGAAGATAATGAAAGCCGTCTGTGTTGTGGGGCAGAAAAGCATTTCAGAGACAGGCCTGACTCGCGGGGTTACGCTGCTGAAAAAGACGTTGACGTGCCTGTTTGTTTTGCAACGAGAGAACACGCATGAGACGGGCTTTCACGCAACACGGTCTGGAGTAGAAGAAGAGCAAGAAGAACAAGAAGAGGAAGGAGGTGAAGAAGAAGGATGCTGTGCTTAGTGCTCTGCACCAGGATGGATCTAGATGTTGGTGATGATAATGATGGAAGTTTGATGGATCATGTGAGATCTCAGCTCGACATCTGTCGTCTGATGATGGATGAAGAGGATGAGAAGGTTGAAGACAGAGAGAGGGAGAGAGATCTTTTGTGTTTTCTTCACAGTGTTCAAGTGGAACGCACTCTAAAAGGTGAGTGTGTGTGTGCGCGCATGTGTGTGTGTGTGTGTGTGTGTGTGTGTGTGTGTGTGTGTTTTCCCCTGAGATCTCTGCAGCTCTGAACGTTGCACTGCCACAGATATAACTTCCCGGTGTATCACTCTTCCTCTTCTTTCTCCTCTTCATCTTCTTATCCTCTCCATTTAAGCAGGACATTAGCACGTAACATGTATAATTTGTATATATAAAAGAATATATCATTATATAAAACAATCCATTAAACAATTCTCTTATTTCCTGTGATTTAATTTGACACTGTCTACAGTTAGCATGTTTAGTCCCAAACTTTCGCTAGTCACCAAAATGAGCCAGTGAGCACTGTCTCTGATTTAAATATGACTCCTAATCAGGTGATTGGTTAAAAAAGAATATTACAGTATTTGCCATTTTTTTCTTCCTCTGGGATGTGGGATTACTGATAAAATATTGGCAGCTGTCATTTAAAAGGAATAATAATAATAATAATAAACTTTCCAGTAAGTTAGCATAAAGAAGTGGCATTTGCGTGTTGATGATTGACAGATGATTTATTTTATTGAGTACAAACCTGTTGAGTTTTTCTTTTCTCCTGCCAAACAATAACATGCAAATGCACACACACTTTATTCACATGCATGAATTACCTTTTTAAAAAGCTCCTCTTCATCACCTTCCTGCCAAAGTTTTGCTTTATTTATCCACACACACACACACACACACAGAGAGAGAGAGAGAGAGAGAGAGAGAGACAGAGAGAGAGAGAGAGAGAGAGAGAGAGAGAGAGAGAGAGAGAGAGTTTCACGCTTCACGGTTTGCTAACAATCGACCCACAGAGAGGTAATATTCAAATGAATCACTTGGTTTGTAGAAATGTCAAAATTTGCACTGGAACAAAAAAATAAGGGAAGTGTGCGTAAATTCGATTTGGATTTGAATAGAATAGTTAATCAGCCACCTCTCTGTCGCTCCCTAGGACTGGCAACGGAACTGCAGCCTGCAGTGGTTTAATTCATATTCAGCACTTTCACCTCACCAATCAGCTCTAAGCTTTTATTCACTGACTTTTTTCGGAACTTATATTATTATTATTATTATTATTATTATTATTATTATTATTATTATTATTATTATTATTATTATTATTATTATTATTTCACAAAAGTAACTTTTGATTAAATACACATCAACGTATTACACTTTCTGTTGACAGATGATGGTGTATCATTATTTTTAATTGGATAATTAATATTATTTTTTTAAGTTTAAAAATTTCCACTCAATTCCATTTGATGTGATTGTATTATTTCAGTATATGCATGATTGTATTATTCAGATTATTTATATAATAATAATGATTTTTTTAAACACATTTAGCAGTAATTTAATTAACCATGTCATATAAAAATAGGAAGCAAATTAAAATATTTGCACTCATTATTAGTCATTAATCTGTTATTATCTGTAATTACTCAGTAATAAAATGTTAATAAATCAGAACCATGTCCCGTACATATCATCAACGTTGTTGCCCTTAGTTTCACCCTGAGTGCAGGGTTACAGGGGTAAATTTGCTCCAATTACGCTGCATGTGTGTGAAGTTCCCCCTCAGGGGCAGTTTAATGGAGTGTTAAAGTGAGGGGAGGGATTTGAAGTGGAAAAGGGGGAAATTGCCAGCTGCCGATTACAGCCTGCTGAGCTGAGGCATGTAGGCCATTGATGGCAGCTTCCTCCTTCTTCCCCCTGCTTCCAACTACTTACCTCTGCTCTTCCCTGCTTCCTCCTTCTTCCCCCTGCTTCCAACTACTTACCCCTGCTCTTCCCTGCTTTCTCCTTCTTCTCCCTGCTTCCTCTAGCTTCCCCCTTATTTCCACCTGCTTCTTACAGCTTCTGCTTGTTTCCCCCTTCTTCCATTGCTTCCTCATGCTTCCCCCAGGTCCCCCATGCTTCCCTCCTGCTTTCCCCCGCTTCCTTCTATTTCCCCCTGCTTCCTCCTGCTTTCTCCTACTTCCCCCTGCTTCTACATGCTTACTTCTGCTTCCCACACTTCCTCCCTCTAATGAAGGTCAGTGTTAATGGCATGGCAGCTGCATGGCAGCTTGCTTAGTCTGCTTAGTCATTCCCTATTTTCATTTGAGTATGCTAATTCATTTGAAGTGCTACATAGTGGCTTAGTGGTTAGCACATTCGCCTCACATCTCCAGGGTTGGGGGTTCGATTCCCATCGTGGCCGTTTGTGTAGAGTTTGCATGTTCTCCCTGTGCTGCGGGGGTTTCCTCTGGGTACTCTGGTTTCCTCCTCTAGTCCAAAGACAAGCATAGTAGGCTGACATAGTAGGCATGTCCAAAGTGTCCGTAGTGTATGAATGGGTGTGTGAGTATGTATGTGATTGTGCCCTATGATGGATTGGAACCCTGCCCAGTGTGTACCCCAATTTGTGCCTGATGCTCCTTGGGATAGGCTCCAGGTTTCCCTGTAACCCTTAAAAGGATTACCGGTATAGAAGATGGATGGATAGAATATATGGAATATATATATATACACACCATTGATTATATATAAATGCATAATATATAGTTATTTTATAAATAAATACACAGAATCAATGAGCCAGATTTTAAACAGCTCACAGTTAAATATGTTAAAACCAGGTGGGTCTAACAACACAACACACAGGAAAAAGAAATTGCACATCTAACACATGACATGAGTTGTGATAAATTATGAAATAAATAAAACTGAAAATATGGAATATGTTGATGAGACCCAAACATCCAAAGCTCTTCATTTTACAGAAATCATTCATATGCTGACATATTTTACTTATTGCACTTATATTTCTGCCAGCTCATAAAAATTAATTTTTTATTTACATTCAAAATATTGTTTATCAATATTCAATTTAACGTTCTCTTTATTAATATTAATTTAATTATTTATAAAAGCAAATTTATTTATTTATTTATTTTTATCTTTGTCCTAATTCCATTAAGGAATTTATAAAACTACATAAATATATATGTAGTGCATGCATACAAATAAAATTGTAAATTTCCTTATATTTCTCAATTAACGTCAGATCATTTTTTATACTGTAGCCATATGATGAGTACAATAACAAGTGAGAAGTGTAGTTTAAGACGATCAGTTGACATCTGTAAGCTCTATATCTGGTGACTCAAAGTGTCCTAAAATGGTTGGTGGTGATTTTCACGGTTGATGGCTGACACCTGAGCTAGTACACTTAAATAAAGGCAAATTTAATGCAGGCTATAATACTAATAGCTCAGGAAGAGCAGAAACTTTTGAACATCTACTTCACTTAAACCCAGATTTAAGAAAGATTTATACTCAATCCAGTCCTACAGAGTCCTGTTTGCAACTGGAGAGCTATAATTAAAAGTATTAAAGAGCTTTATGTGTAAATAAAGAGTTTAAAAGTGATGCAGATGCATAATTAATGCTTTAAGTTGCTAGTTTAATACCTGATATATGATATATGGCAGGTATTTGCCTCAAATTGCCCATTTTCAAATAAAGCACATGACATTATCACAATATTAACTTACACAAACATGTATTTCTGGTTTAATGGTTATACTTTATAATTAAAGTAATACTTTAATTGGTGTTACATGACCATAGATACAACACAAATTAAATTTACGCACTGGAATAAACATTGGCTCATTGGTAAAATGGTAAAAAAAAAAAAAATACAGTATGTTTTTTCCCCCCTATAAGTGAATTAATGAAATAATAATTTATGATAAGGATATTACTATAATCTGTAAACAATAACTTTATTCTTTTGTTTGTTTGTTTACAAATCCACGTTTTAAAGTTATTTCTAAAAATGCATTCGCTGTATTTGCTGCATTTCAGACTATTCATGAATATTTATTTCTTCATTCATCCATTTATTGAAATTTACATTTTATTTATTAATTTATCTGTTTGTTTTTTGTCATCCATTGTTGTATTATCTATATCTACATCATATTTTCTATAATGGTAACTCTGATAATAGAATGCGCTCGTTCTAATTCTTTATCATTTCTATAGTAACTGCGCATTTACAGGGACTTGTATGGCAGTTTCTCCATTGATAAAAAAACATTAAAAACATCCTTGATAAGTGAGGAGATGTGTATTTATCATTTATGGAAGGAGTCTCCAGTGTCAGTGCTTTGTAACATTCAGAGGTAGTTTAATTTTAATTAGAATTTTTTATTTATTTAATTTCTTTATTTTAAATTTAATTTTTCTGGCATCTTCACGACAGAGGAGTTTACACTTCGCTGTTTCTCAGCAACATCACAAGCTGCACTTTTTAGTCATATTAAAAGAGAAGCTGGGGAGGGAATGACTGTTTATAGCTGCTATAAGAAAAGTGAGAACAGCAACTAACTTGTTTTGCGGACATTCCACAATATTAAGTGTTACTATAAATAGCTAAAAAACAATGTGTCATTCTTTATTTTATATATATATATATATATAAACTAATCATTTGCAAGTTGTGACGTAACTTTAACTAATGCAGTAAATATTTATAGTTTAGGAACGTTAACATAAAGTGCTACTGAAAAATGCCATGAAAACAATATCATTACTTTTCTGTGACCTTTCCCTGCTTATGGATTATAAAAGAATCATGCATCATATGAACGTCCCCATGCAATTTTTTATGCAAAACAGTGATTAATGGCCACCATTGAATTTTACAATTGACTTGACGGAGCGATCAGGAAACCTGCGTGCAGCAGCCCAACGCAGAAAAGCATCACTCCTCGATAATTGTCTGCTTTTGCTTTTTCCTGTAATGTTTGGAGTTTTTTTCCTCTCCAGAGGTTGCAGTTTCCGACCATTAAGAGGAATCCTGCTGTGAGCAGACGACGTGTCAGAGGGAGAAAAAAGAGCTGGTGGCTGATAAACAACAGCACGAGTCAATTTATCGCTGCAATCGTTAAATAATAGCTGCGATTATGAGGTGGCAACTGTAGACGTGGTAATTGTGTGTCATAAATCTGCGCGGCTGGTGACAGTAGCACAATGAGAGCAGACGGGTGAGAGATATCAGCCGAGCCGGGACGTGTCTCAATATTATCGAGAGGCCTTCACTTTACTTCTGAGTGGCTGAGTGGATCGAGAGAGATCTTTAAAATGATGGAGATTTTTCCAGGAGCATGAGTATGAATATGAGATGCATTTAGAGGGAAATTCTAGTGCTAATTCTAGTATTCATAGAAGGAGAAGTGCCATATTGTGTTCACATTTTTCCAAAATAAGGAACACAGCTACTGTGGTAGAGGTTACTTTTATCCTGATTTTATCAAGTCATAAGTTAAAAAATCGCAAATATGTTCATATGAAATCACTTCTAGACTGTTTTTGCATATAATGCTTTTATTTACACCCAGAAACAATTTATCAACATTAGCTAAGCTGGACCAATAGCTAATCTCAGCTGACTCGTTAGCGTTACCGTCACCTCTTGAAGGAATAGCTACATAACATTATAGCCAAGTTTCCTTGCAACCTAGTTAGAATTAGACTAAATACAAGTTTAGCGGATAATAAGCTAACTATTTTTCTGACACAATATATAGATTGTTGTTATGCTAGTTTGCTAGCAGAGTATCTAACATTTTTGCTAATATATTGTGTATTTAAACCAACAAATTGTTGTTATTACGTAATAGCAACAGCTAACATGGGAACTTTACATGGAGCATGGGACATGGATTCAAATTTTATGCTTTCTGTTTTCTCTGTACAATGACAAGATGCATTTCTGTCTTATTAACTTCAAGAGAGAAAGATAAAAAAGTGAGGCTTGTGAAGAGAATGGTTAATTTTCCACAACATTAAATGCAACTAAAAATGGATAAAAGTACTATATGATGTGCTGTTCTTTAAGCAGAAAAAAACATTGGCAAATTGCTGTGGTATAAAAGGAAAATCACAGCAACGTGTTTTATTCATCATATATCATACATGCACTTGGAGAAATAGGAAGAAATTGTACACTTGTACACTGAATTCAAGGGGTTTGTTGTATAGCTAAGGGTTCTTAGATAACTTCTAAATCAACCTTTCTGAGCCTTTTGTATGGTTATACATAGAACCTTTTCTATATATTTTCCTTAATCAAATGTAGTAAAGATTAGTTTTAATGTGATTTAAGGTCTTAAGGTTTTTTATATCCATCCATCCATCTTCTACCACTTACTCCTTCTTCAGGGTTGCGGGGGAACCTGGAGCCAATCCCAGGGAGCACCGGGCACAAGGCATGGTACACCCTGGACAGGGTGCCAGTCTGGTTTTTTATATTGTTATGTTAAATGCTATTAAAAATGAGATGCTCCACTATGTGAAGTTTAAAAGCGAGTATAATTCTACTCTTGTATGATTGGATAAACACAGTGATTAGACAAACAGACTCATTTGTTTAAAATTGAATAATGCTGGCAAACTAGATTTTCACACATATCGAGTAAAAATAGACACTGCTGGGTTTAAAGGGCAGGGTTAAGGTGATGGGCGGGGTTAGAGTAAAGGGCAGGGCTTGTCCACATTGCTTCAGTTACAACATCATTCATAGAAAATAAATAAATACCAAACTAAATTCACTGAAATGAGAAGTGAAGGCTGTGTAAGAGTCAGACTACACTCAGTTCGTAAAAAAGAAAAAAAAACCATCTCAATGTCCATCAAAGGACAGAATCGCTGCACTACTGCACAAAACATGGCCTTGAAATAGCAACAAGAGAACAGAAGAGTGAACGGTGGTGAAGGCCAGGGCAAAACACACTGATGGCTTTATTCAGAAAGTGGATGATCAGGGCATTTGCTCACCCTTCCTAAGCACATACATGTGACTGAAAAATGAAGCACTATTTTTTTATTATCACTTACTAAGGCCACAAGTTCATTTTGAGATGCTGCTTTTCACTTTTGGATATCGAAGAGTTCTGAGATGAATTGGGTAAAAACACTCAGTGAGAGGAAAACAGCCTTGAAATGGAACATTGAGCACACAAAGGAAAGTGAAAATAATAAATATAATGATACATGATATTGTTTTTGGAAATCCCACAGATGTATCAAGCACCATTTTAAACTAAATATATGTATATTGAGGTTATAATATCAGGACTAATTTAGTGGTGTACTGTTAGGTATTATCATAATGTCTTTGTTTATAAAATGGAAATAGCTGTATGAATG